GCCTATTTAGGAAAGAGGTTACTTAACTAATTGCTACCTAAATTAAAAGATTTTTGGTTTTATAAGAAGCCTGTGTTAAGGCCTATCTTCTAGCGTTATAGTTAATTAATAGTGAGTTAACCTGCCTTTGTTTTAGATAACTTCCTTTATGCGCTTTAACTAGCTTAGGATACTCTTCCTATAATCAGCTAGTGTAATCTTTGCCTATTCCTTTTTAAGGATATCTACTATCTGCTTGCAAGTAGTAATATATTCTTGTTGCTTTAAGATGCAGAGCTTTATAATCTGCTAGAGGTTCTTAATTAGGTTTAAATTAGGACTTTGTAGAGGCTAATTAATCTGTATCATGCTATGGTTGTCTATATACTTTTAGGTAGCCTTTGCAGTATGAATAGGGGCTCTATCCTGCATCTATATGCCAATACCGCGTTTCTCTGTAAGCTGCTCATAGAATGGGATGCCAACATTGTGCAGAATCTAACAGTATTTACTAGCATTATTCTGCTCGCCTTTTTAGTTAATAAACAGCTCTAATTTAAAATTAAGAGAGATTACACTAAATACAGAAACTGTAGTCCTTCTAGACTTAAATGTAGGCTTTAGGTACCAACTCTTGTACGCTTTTCTATGCTACTAACGTACATATAGAGGTCTAGTGTCTAAGCTAACTTTAAATGTTGCTTTATTATAATAGGCTACGCAAGCTACGTTACTGCTCTTATTATATTAATAGATTTAAGCAAAGCAGAGTTGTTTTTCTTTGTGTACAGCTAAGAGCTAAGGCTTGTGACGTAGACAGAAGGCGTAGTACTTATGTTTTGCAAGGTATCTCCTTATAGTACTAGCATAGATGCGGCAGTAGGTCTTAGACAGTGTTGTAATAGTCTAGAGCGTAGCAAAGGGATTATTTGCTGCCTAGCGAATTAAATGCCTCTTAGCGCGTTTGTTAAGCTTTAGAGGCCAGCCTGTACGCAGGGCTTTTGTATAGATAGGCTAGGGCTGCTTGCGCAGCCAGCGGATGTTATATGTAACTGTTAACTTAGGAATGCTAAGATGACTTAAAATTTTGCCAGCGCTCACGCTGTAGAGGTGGAATTGCCATATTGTATTAACAGTAGACTTAGATAGCTCTTTGCGCGAGGTTTTATTTGCTTTTGTAACTATTAAAAAAGGTGGTAATTTAATTAAGTTACAATTAATTAAAATTAAAGCATTGTAGGGTGGCCTAGGCCTCTCGCTAAAGTGGCCAATCACTTTTAGTAGGCGACTGTACATAGTTTGTTTTAGCCTTCTAGGACAAACTTTATAAATAGCTTTAAATTATTTTTTATCTATTTATAGCTTTTTACTTAGAGACTAACAGCTAAACTAAGAACATAAACACTGTAATAAAATAAGTTTTATAAGTGTACATAAACTACTAGCAGGATAACTAGGTAAAATAGTTAGCTATAGCATAGTTTAAAGCTAATAACATAACATCTAAATTAACATAAGTATTCTTATTTTTAGCAAACTATAAATACTACTCTTAAATAGAATTTAAACTACTTTTAAATACCCCCTAACTAACTTATTAATTTATATAAGTAATAAATATAAATAGACTTATTAATAAAATTTAAAATATATCTAAATATGTTTATAAAAAGCTTACATAAGCTTAAGCTTTTTAATAAGAGTACATAAACTAATCTTAAACTTTTGCCCCTATGTATGTAGCTAGCAAAAAGGTCTAGCTAGACACTAGAAATATCTAAATAAACTAATAATTAAAGAAACTTAATTAAAAAAACCTTAGCCCTTTTATAGTAGCTTATATAGTCTTATTACACACTTACTAATTAATCCTACCTAACAGCATAAAGATACACCCTGTGTTCTATGTATTATTGCTGCGCTAAGCAGCCTTTAAATCTAACTATCTACCTAAATAGCTAAACTTGCTACTTAAACCTATTATTATAAATAATAAACTAAAATATGTTATAAAAGATGTTAAATAAATCTAGTTTAATAAAAAAAAACATATTTATAAATACTTTATAAAATAGACTAGATACAATAAACTGTTATAGAAACTTATAGAAGCCCTATAAAAGAACTCTATAGTAACCTAATTTTACGCCTAATACCTATCTAAACTAAACCTGTACTCTAATAAAGACAACTTAATGCTAGAACTACTAATGTAAAGGATTCCCTTCCTAATAAGAGGGAGAGTACTGTCACAGTATTCTCCCTAGATCCTAGACATAACTGTATTAGACATGTACTAGAGTATTATTAGTGCACGTCTAACATAAACACAACATAACATAGACATAAACTTAAGCATAAACTACTTTAACACTAACTAAACTTAGAATAAGCTTAATTTATACTTAAAGCGCTTAGACTTTTAAGCTAAGTATTTAATTACTAATTTTTTTTAAACCTTCCTGTTTCTTACATAATGTCTTGTACCTACTATAATACCTTACATAGTAATTAAACTAGACCTCCGTGAAGCTCTATAACCTTACTCGTGCACAATCGTGACAATAGAATATTTTTATTTAAGTCTAGGCTACACTCTAGAGATAACTATATATAGATGAAAAAGTACTTTATTTACTATAAAAAATATTAGTTATTAAACTACTTTTATAATAACTATATATTGCGTAAACAATCTAACAGCAGGCCTGCATTAGGAAATAGATGCACCCTGTTTGGGGCAATCTGGGCCTCGCTTGCGGTTTTCGCGCTACGCCCGAACCGGCAATTGACCTTGACGTCTACTATAAAAGAGCTCCCGTCGTGGTCATTTTTACTCCCTCTCTTCATCTTTTTCTCTCTACTCCTATCCCTTCGTCCCCAACCCCCTCGTCCGCGCCAGCTGCTCTCATTGGGCCTCAGCAATCCCTTGTGAGGCACTTTTTTCTCGAATCTCCGTTGCCGTCTAACATTGTACTGCCCTGCGTCGTGCCTCTCATTTCCCCCCCAGTGTGAACTGTGCCGCCCAGCTCTTCATCTCTGGTGATGGCTACTGCTACAACTGCTTTTGCGCTCGTATCGGCAAGCGTTTGGCATCCCACCGGGTTTCCATTCTCTCGCCAAGAAGTGGTGGATGTTGCTATGGGTGATTCCTTAGCGTAGACACATGAGCCTGATGCGATTCCGAGGAATAATGTTCGAGAAACGGTCAGCATAAATGGCGACCGGGATCAAGGCATGGGAGAAGAAGAAGCAGTGACCCGAGTTGAAATGGGAACGTACAAGGTAGAGAGGGCGAGGCAGGACATCACAAGCAGCCCAGGGGTCGCAAGGTATGTCATGCTTATCCTGTTAAGGAGAAGGCTAACGCGTGATCTAGATAGCCTGATTGTGATTGATTATGGTCCGCTTCGAAGGTCTGCTCGCCGGAGACAGCAGAACAACTATCCGGACATGATCCCATGGTCAGATCCCCAGATCAAAGATTAAATCATCGCAGACTATGAAAAGTCATGGTAGGAGACACAAGACGACTGGATGAATTTGGAATGTATTCACTACGATTGCGGAGACCTATCACTTAACGAGAAGCTCCATCACTTCAAGATCCACATGGAGAGAGCATACAGTGGTGACGACTAGGCTCAGGGGACCGCCTCAGGCCTCTTGAAAGATTGGAAGAAGATCGAAGAAAGAGCAGCCAAATGCTGGACAACAGACGCAATAGCTATGCGACAAGTGCGGAGGAGATTCGGTAAGGCTTTGAAGAGGTTTGAAGCTTGTGGAGAGCTCTATGAGCCTGTGATGGAGTATCGTGGAACGATGAGTGATGATTGATTGATTAATTGATTCCTCCTCGGTTTCAGCCGCGATTTAGCAGCTATGCACGGTTAGGCTGACGTGGAAGACAGCCGACATGGCTTGGGAGCGCTCGGCTTCGTCTATTCGTCTCTGATCCCCCTTTTCCTAAATATCTGCGTCTGTTCTATAATCCCGATAGCTTTGGTGGCTAGCCTGCTGTTGTTCATAATGGCCTTGAAGTCGTGTCGTCCCGGAAGGCGACCGAATTCCTGGTTCCGGAGGTTCCTGTGGTTCCTGCAGGTGAGGAGGATGTGTGAAGCCGTCTGCCGTCTCGCTCCGCATTCACACTTTGGGCCCGCGACGCCTGGTACTTATCGTTGGAAGAGGAAGTCCCGGAGGCCGATTTTCTCCGTTCGGATCTGTATCAGCAGCGCGCTTTGCTGTTTGCTGAGGTTCTGGTGGAGTCGGAGTACACTGTTCGTGGGCACCGATGTGTCTCTTTAGCACGCTCTACCTTCGGTTTCTAGGTGCCAATTTGCGTTCCATGTTCTTTCTACCTCAGTTTTACCCCACATCTTGACTGTTGTCCTGAGTGGGTGTAGTTGGAAGGGCTTCGGCGCTGTTTCTCCTTCGGATCCGTCTTCTCTCCATCCTGTGGCTTCCTTGGCGGCTCTGTCAGCAGCTTCGTTCCCTAGTTCTCCTACGTGTGCTGGTATCCATCGGATTTTCACTGGTCGTCCTTTGTCCTGGATGTCTTGGATTTGTTGTGCTATCTCTTTGAGGATATAGGCTCCAGATTGTCCCTCCGGTTAGGCTGTAGACGTAATAGCGGCCTGGTTGTCTGCGTCGACAGCGACTGTTTGGCGGCTTCTGTTTCGCTCTGCGTACTCCCTTGCTATCTGCAGTGCACTTATCCCGCGGAGTTCGGCAGAATATATTGTCGAGGTCGTTTCCATTCCCATGTGCACGCTGCGTATTTGTTGTAGGATCGGGCACGCCGCTGCCACGCCGATCTGGCCATTGATTCCGCTACCGTCCGTGTAGATGCTGAGGTCCTGTTCTGTGTCGTTTTCTCTGTCGTGCCGGCTACGGGCTTTATCGGCGTCGTCGTCTATGTGTGTCTCTGGTCCTGTCCACCATGGTGGCGTTACGAATGGTGGGATAGTTTCCTGTGTGTCGGCGTCCTAGTTTTGCCTATCTCGTATCTCGCTATGGATCTTTTTGAGCGGGTCTATGAATCTCCTTCGGTTTTCCGTCGTGGGTGTGTTTCGTTGGGGGTCTATACTGTCTAGTATTTCCTGGCTCGAGAGGAGCCGGGTGATGGTGTTTGTGTTGTGTTTCCATAACTGCTGTTCGATAAGGAGGAGGTACGCTTTGATGTCTAGCGTGGCTCTCGATGTGACTTTGTATGCTCCACATATAGCTCTTGCTACTCTTGCCTGGATGGCTTTCAGGGTGTTGAGTGTCTTCTTCGTGTTGGCGTGTAACCATACCGAGCACGCGTACATTAGTTGGGTAGGGCGGTGCCAGTATAGGTGGTCCTCATATCCGAGAGGCTGATGCCCCCTGTTGAGCCTCCCAGGCAGCTCATCGCGTTCACTGTTTTTATTACCTTCTGTTGGAGTTCCTCTGTGTGTGCTTTCCATTGTAGCTTCATGTCTAGGGTTAGTCCTAGGTTCTTGCATGTCGCCTTAGGCTTTACCTCGCCCCACGCTGCTTGGACCAAAACATATATGTATTACAGTGCTCTTGGAGATGTGTCTACATAGTAAAGGTCGAGAATGACCTACTCATACTAGGCCCCTTCACCACAGTCGCCCATGAATGCCCTGATTTGCTCCTTAAGCCTATCTCTTCCGTGCTGTCCCCGGAGCTCTTGATAGACCGACACGTGCATCCGTTCTTTCAGGCTATATAGATAGTGTTGCCAGCGAGGGTTTGATCCTCCTCCCATTGCAATCCCTAACAGGTCGAGCTGCCACCGCCTCCCTAGTGCGCTCTATGGGTGCGACTCCACGCAAGGGGTTACGAGTCCACTAAGGCTCTTTCCTCAGCGTGCGCAAATAGCCTAGGCGAGTTCCTTAGAGCCGCCATCGCTACCATTATATGCCACGCCCCACGGCTCCTTTAGATCCCAGCAAGCCGCTTCGCGTTATCCATAACCCTCTCGGTGATGATGGGCCGACTATGTTTTGCAGAGGGAAGTCCTCAGGTAACTTGGCGCCGCGCAGCTACCAGCCTTACGCCTCTACTAACCAAGCTTGCGTTCCTCCCCCTTGTCAAGTGTCAAGTCCTTCCTTAGTGTCTCTGTGTTTCCAACGCGCCTTTTCGCTGCTGTAGACAGAGGTTTGGGTCGCCAGGAGGTCGTTGTCGATAGGCGGCTGCGAGCACCACGCTGTTTGAGACCCTTCTCTTGGTCACCATTCCACCCACTAGCCCCCGAAGCACTTCTCTTCTACCCAGGCTGTTCGTAAGCCCATTGGCCTTAACAAATTTCCTAAGAAGGTGTCCTGGAATTCGGGATTCTCCCTACCCTCGTTGCAGCGCCAGCGACGCTACACTCCTAGAGCAGCACACAAGCACAGAGGTGTCCTGTCCCTCTACCAAACCAGAAATGCTATGTGAGGCGATTCCCTTAGGCAGAGTATCGAGTGGTTTTTACCTGGTTCTTCTATTTTCGTAGTGCTTCATCTCTTGGCATTGCGAAAAGTCTGTCTCTGCGGCAGCGTCGAGGGGTTGAGCTTTCAACCACCCCTCTAGCAACGGCGCACGTCCTGCACTGGTAGAGAACGGAATCCTTGTAATCAGCTTGTTCTAGGGAACAAAATGATACGGAAAGGAACCCTCATAGGACAGTATGGGCCGGATCACGATTTTGGTGTTCCTCCTTGCTTGCGGGGTCTCTCTGATATGTTTTTTTGGCAGGAAAATATGCTACATCACAGTCACAAAAAGCTCGCTCACCGACGTCGAGCTATAGACAGACAAGTTCTCCCATGAAGTCCTCATTGCTCAGTTAATCCCAGGAATATTACTACTAAAAATAGATGCTTCCCACGTTTCCAGGAACGTAATAGTTCTATCTGTCCCTTCCAATTCGATAGCGATAGTCGCTATCCTCTAAATCGAGAGATAGAAGCTCTTCTTCGCACAGAACCCAGAAACGGCGAAGCCGCTGAAGATTCGTCTGGCCGCTGCAGATTCGTCTGGCCTCTTACGGCTCGGCTGGCCACCTAGAATTCGGCTGGCCGCTAGTTTAAAATTGAACGGCCCCATTTACGTCTCACTGGAGCTTGATCTGGTTTCTACTCTGGCGATATGGAGCGTGTATCGCTGGCGTCCTAGCACCTCTATCGCTGGTGGTCTCAGCCTGGGATCGCCGCCGACAATGTCGCGGGTGTTTCAAGGGAGATTAATCATCAGCGCATGCGCCGCTGCCGACCTAAATTTCGTAACATCGCTAGCGAGCATGTCGTCGACGGTTTACATTTGGACGTCGCCAAAGATTCGACACTGCTGCCAGTTCTGGCGGGCTCATCGCCGGCGACCAGCAGCGCACGAACGCCGGCGAAACGATCAGCCTACATGCGCTGGTGATACAAATGATCAGAGATCACCCTCCTAGCAGCGGACTCTCATCGCAAAATTCTCAAGCCGTGTAATCGCAATCTTCATTTACCTCCTACCAAGACGCATCAACGTAATATTACCAATTGTTGCTATGAAACCATATCCGCTGTCAAATTGACCCGTTCTTGCAGCTTATCTGAGTAGGCATTCCCGCAGCCGCAACTGTATTTCCCTTATCGGAGACCTAATGTTTTCTAAGCTACAGATTCAAAGTGGGTTGACCATAGCTTCGCAAACTTGCGATAGAGAGGTTCCGGAGGTCCGAAGCGTAGTCCCGTCTCGCGACACCGTGTGTCTCTCGACGCAGTGATAGACTTTAGATGGCATCGGTTGTATTTGGTGGACTTAAAGGCCGGGCAAGCGCGGTGTTGGTTAAGCTTTCGATCGTTTCGTTCGACGCTGTCAATCGCCCCTTTAGTTATACCCCCTGTCAAATCGCGACTTTAGGATTCTAACAAAAAATTCGGAGGACACAGACCCGGCGTTCACTTCGCAATACCTGCCTCCTCAGTTAGAAACCGCCGCGCGCATATGGCCTACTAGCCACAAAGATCTCAGCCTCGCCAATGCGTAGGCGAGGCGCAGGACAGGCAGCAATACCAAAGCCAATGCATATGTTGCCACATCGAAAGTGGAGGTAGAGCGTGGAATAAGGTATGTTGAAGGCAGCAAACACCTGACCTTGCGCACGCTGCAATCTGAAACAATAAGTTGTGCTCTTTTAAAGCTCTCGAAAAGGATATCTGTCGCAACATACTTCCGAATTCGGCCTAATCTTACAGGATGCTGTGTAGAATGCCCGTACGCTACGATACAGAGAATGAATATAGGACAAAGCGCAGACTGCGCAGACTCGCAAGGCTAGAGTCACGATCTTCGCAGTGGCAACCCCTATCAACGAATTAATGAGCTGAAATCGGGCGTAAAATCTCATTTAGGTTAGCCTCTTGGCCAAAGGGATATTTTAAGGTGCGCCCCCCAATGCGCATAATGTTGGGGGCGGGATTCTCGTTTTCGTCGATCCTTCGAACTCCGCCCCAGCCTTGTATCCCATTGCAGAATGACTCCTTCATAATATTCGCCACTTCGACATTCGTCTGTGGTTTTCCATTTAAAAGTCCAGTGATACCCTGTTCTTCGTAGTATAGGCATCAAGCGAGTCTAAACTACGCTAGGTATGGGTAATGAATTTTACAACGGATTCTGGACGAACTGGGGTGAGTCTTTGGTCCTTACTTTCATTATCACGCGCTAACCAAGTGAACAGAGGATGGGAAGATTGGGGGTGCTACCCTTACACTGCCGACATATGCAGGCTTGATTCTAGTCTCCTTTCTCACTCTGTTCGTACAGTATTCCGGTAGCTGCTTCTGGCGCGTGGTTAGCTTCATCTTGCACCAGACGAGATCGACGACGGCGTCGAAAAATGGCCTTTTCCATCAACAACAGGCCATCCTTAGAAATTCTGTGACTGCGACCAACGCATTTTGGACCATAGCCTCGTCCGCGTTCGTGTGGAAAAGGAAAGGGAAAGAGCAGGGGAAAGAGAACAGGAAAGGGTTAGGGAAAGGGAAGGCTCAAGCGACCTTGAGGACCTCGTTACCGCTGCTTTTGGTTTCCGCTATCCATATTGGCTTTTTTGCTGTCGCAGGATTGTTTTCATCCCGCGTCACGACAACATCCGCTTCAGGACAGGCGCTGATGACCGGCGGTATTTGCGGTTTTCCTGGTGAGGTAGAGAACCTTCGAGGTGTAGAGCCAGAGAATCTGGACGAAGAAGGACTACTCACATTCAACACGCAAGTCCTCCTGGGACGGTTGGCTCTCTCAAGGAGCGCGGCGTACGTTCGCTCGTGCTACAATATGAACGACAATGGGGCTTCTGGTGGCTGTAAAGTTTACGTACAACCGTACTTGCATGGAGTCAACGCATCATCCGTCAACGATACATCATGCCCCTTTGTAAACGGGGAGACTTGTGCAACATCTTCGGCGGTGCGATATGATTCCGGAGCCATACATTCTAACAAGGATCTCGGTATCAACTCTCCGGAATCAGACGCGATGACAGTACGGAGAATAACAAGCTGTGCCCCTGTTAGCGCCGAACGATACGCCACGGATTGGATTAATGACGTACCGGAAGCTTTCGGTGACGGGCGCACGAATACGAGTATAAAATTCTACGAAATGGGGCATCCCACCTCTGGTGACAATGACGGATGCGATGCTACATTTAAGAATTCTACGACAAACCTCACGACCTTCTGCGTTTCAGAATTCATGAAAACATATGTCCAAGAACCATACACAATCCGGTGAGTTCCTAATATCTTTAGCCACTGCATTACCATAACCGAAGCACTTATACACTATTCCTTTGTTTACGCCTAAAGATACTGATTGTTGTTAGGGTCCAAACATCCTACTACGATAATGACACAGCCAGTGATCTCATCCCAGTTTCTGACTTTCAAGTCAGCAATGCCGATGTCACACTAATTGCCATTTTCAACAAGGCAAGGTACAGCGAGATGGTCAAGGATGAGCTTTTTTCTGCCCAAAACGAATCTTCCTGGGGCCCAGGCTTCTTCACTGCCACCAATGACTTATCCGTACTTGGTTGCACCGAACAGTATCAAGTCTGCAATATTAGGAATACACGCTGCACACCGGTCACAGGACTCTATGGAATTAGGCATGCGTTAGATTCTGAGGATGGAGACTTGGACTTGAGTCCTAAACAGAAAGCGATATTCGAGCTTCTGTGGATGCCAGCCCGCTCTATGAGTCTGCAATGGTCGTTCAAAGTGCTCGGTACAGAGCTTCTACTCGCGAAAGATTGGTTATGGGCGACTGTCAGCGTTGGCTCATCCGCTCTACCGCCCAACCACTGGCAAATGGAAGCCGAGAACCTCCACAATGTCTCGCTGGCCGTGCTCCAGCGGCGGGTCTCTGAATTCGCATCCCCGAACGAATTTGAGATTCGCCCAGGTTTAAACTCGCTGGCGCAGATTAGAGAGCCTTCCGACCCAGCCCTCCGCGATCTTTGCACCGCTCTGAAACTGCGAAGTAGTGAGAATATCTCCGTAAGCGTGCTTGGAATGGGGATTATTCTGGGGGTCGGCAGCTTGTTTATTCTACTCGACTTCGTTCTCATACAGCAGCTCTTCTGGGTGAATATTCTTTGGTGGAGAAATAGGTCGCCTCGCCTTCAAAAAAGGAAAGAGGACTGGCAGGCCACGGGCACGTTGCAGCTTCAGAGATCCGCATTAGAGGCCAGGGGTATCGAGCCCTGGGAGGACGATGAGAATGAGACTCCTGTTCTGGTGGACAGGAACAAGAAATTCGCAAGGCTGAACGACCTGAATGACGATTGTAAGATGAGCGAGAACAGAGGGGGTGATGTAGGATATGGTAAGGGCACGTATACACCGGTGCCAACTCAAAGTCCGGAGTCAAGGAGGATGGAAGCAGAGGATCGTGCCGCTGATCTTGAGGATGCTAAGAGGTTGTCTAAGGAACAGTAATTTGTTATATATCCATGAATGATGTAGAATTTCTAATATATTCCGAATGCATAGTCTTATGTTTTTAAGATAGCGTTTGGCATGCGCTCGTTCGGGACGCGCTGCATGTTCCCGGTCGTGATGGTGGAAGAATCAGGTCGGTGGGACGGGAGATTCGCCAGTGGCGCATTTTATCCGATTGCTACATTAGCTTCATGCATGTGCTTCTAGCTTCATCTCCCAAAATAACGCCTTGGGGTCAGCCGATAGCCTTCGAACCTCTTCTCGAACCTTTCTTCTCCCCCATACGTCATCGATGAGGACCATCCTCCACCGAGCTATGTAGATGTCCCTTAGCTCTATCTTAGCTTACCAGCCTCCACTATAGATGGTATTATAGTCGCTCTAAAGGGAGCTTCGCTAACCTCGCCTAATATCATTAAGAACGCGAAAGGCGCTATAGTTCCCAGTAGTTAGATAGTATATATAGGATATAGTTGTAGTAGGTGCTTAAGAGGCCTTAGAAAATTCGTAGCTAATTAACTCCGCAGAATATATATACACGATATGCTCGAGACTGCTTATAAGAATACCCTTTATAATGTTAAGATCCGTGATCTAAGATAACTAAGGTAGTTCTCTTAGAGGGTCTGCTTGTTGGTTCTCAGGATATTACTGATAGGGAGAAGAAGCTATTGCGAAGTGATCTCTCAAATCTGTCAAGAGCCGCTTGCCATCCTCATCATCCTAGACCTCAACTTGGAACCTTTTCACTATCATAGCAATCACCAGGCGCATTTCTCTCATAGCAGGAGTCTTGACGACACAGTTGAAGCGCCCCTGAGAGAATGGTGCAAAACCCCTGGGATCTTTAACAATATGAGGCTTTGTGGTCCAGCGTTCTAGAACGAATTGGTCGGCATACTCAAACGCAGACTCGAGACGGGCAAGAGAATACCGAGCCGCGACGATTGTAACATTTCCGGGAACGTAGGTCTGATTGATCATTATACCAGTCGGCGGAGACTGACGGTATCCACTAGCTGGGACTGGCGGATGAAGTCGCACGGTTTCGTTGATGAGCGCGGACAGGTGTTCACAACGTTGAAACATATTGTGGTCAAACACATCCACGTTCCTCAATTCTGCGAGAAGTATTTCCTGCTGTTCCGGAGATCGAGAGAGTTCGTAGAAGTCGAAGAATAGGGTAGGAGCAATAGTATCACTTCCTTATATTAGCTCAAGCCTATCTCTTTCTTCGAAAATCGTACCTTCTAGCAATGATTATGGTGACAGCATCCCCATTAAGCCATTCTTTGTCAGCTTGTAATAACCCTTTCTTAAGAGATGCGCTAATTAACCAGTGAGAAATATCCACTCTGTCTACTTTCATCTGCTAGTAATTAATTTACCATGTTTTTTCTCTAAGACAAGGTAAATCTTGAATTCTCTCTCCTCGATCCTTACACCATTCCATCATCGACAGCTAATCTCGCACAATATACATCCAGGGTGTAATTTAAAATGCAATTTGTGCAAGCTATGGCACAGGGCTGAAGGGCCCTAACAAGCTTATAGCTTTTCTTAGTAGTCAAGCAGCAAAGCGCCATTTCTCATTCTTCAACATCTTAAACGAACGGGCAAAAGCAAAAATCGCCCATCATGTCCAACGAAAACTAATCAAACTAGTTTAAAACGTTAACTGCTGCGTTGTTTTAGGCCAGCTGCTCAATTCTTCGGGTAAGAGTGTCCGCATATTCAATGACCCGCTCTTTGTAGGTAGAAAGGGCCTTCGTGCTGAAGCCGTTGTCCTATATGCGACGCCGAGAGTCATGGTCTTTCTTGCTCCGAGTGGTGTTCAGTGCTATTTCTAGATGTAAAAATCGTACTAAACGGCTTTGGTGCGGTTATTCTTAGGTCCGTCGACGGCAGGCGGTACCGATGGATCAACAATAGTGAGCTCTCCTAGGCTAGTCCCGATGAAAGGTCCATATTTCTTGTGTAATTCCTCTATGACGAGGTAATTCTTCCCAGCCCGGCACTTCCAGATATGCCAGAACTTCGTAATAGCCGCTGCCCAAGGTCCCGGAAAGTGTCGGAGTTGATGAAAGTATCTACGATAGATGGAAATGCTAGTGAATAACCCGAGAGCGTAACATATGGATAGTGATCCGGTGGTAATAGAAACATTCTAAAAGGTGCTGCCATTGTATTTTTAGATCGCAAAGATGGCTATCCAAATGCAAGAGTAGAGTTGACTAACAATGGTGCTTGCATGTGCCACTCTCCACGAATGAATATAGCAAGATGAGTCGCAGCGCCTAACATCGTTGATGCTAGAAGCATTCTCGTGAACATCAGGGAAGACATGTCCGTTGGGGTTGGCTTTAACGGAAACAGGAGACGTGTGCACTTTAGAATAATTCTTCGAATGGAAACAGAGGGGTGTGGGTCAAGTATAAGAAATGGGTGTTCGCTAGACCTTGGAAACGACATGGAATTTCGGAGATAGGCTGTGCGGACGGCTTGGTTGGGGTCAAGGTCTTTCACCACTTAGCGCTTTCCTCAATTGATTGTACGCGGCGCGTACAGCACCAGAAAGGCCAATGGAATTTCTAGAGCACCGTGCCTGAATCCACCGTTAATATATGAATGGAGAACTAATATTACTGGAAATAATAGTGCCCCACTGTAGTCGTATTTGAGGAGAAGCGGAATTGTTCCTCCCGCTACCTTGCGGCCCATCGCGTAGGCTAACCCAGATACTTTTCGATTTTATAGAAGCTAGACTCAGCAAAGCCTTCAATGGAAAGCAAAGGAGGAGTAGTGCTTTTTAATACAGTCGCACTGTCCATAGACCAGCCTCACGTAAGCATGCCTTATAAACAAAATGTTAGGGAAAGTTTAATCATTTTACCCTAACACTAAACTACTATGCTAAGTTTAATCTAGGTTATCTACTAACTTTTAAATTTATCACTGCTTCTAGATATCTACTAACTATACTTGTGCTTAAAACTTTACTTTAAGCTCTAGATAACGCTTCACAAATGTACTAGGCTAGTTTATGCTAACATAGCCTAGATTACGCTTAGCGCGCAAAGGATTAGCTATATTAGCTACAGCTGCTAGCTAAGAGGAAAATCCTTGCGCATATAGCTTAAGTATGTGCTTAATAATTAACTGCTTCTTTTTACTACCTAGCTGCTATAAATTAGCTATAAAATTTACTTATAAAAGTTATTTAGTATGTTAGTTATTTATTATTTTTTAAAAAACTTTATACATAGCTGTAGTATATTGCTTTAAAGGTGTTACATTTTATATAAAAGCTTAAAGTGTAAGCTATATTAAATATTCTTTTAGCACATTTAAGTAGTGTTATTAGGAATGCATTTATATAAAAAAATAGTTTAGTAAGATTTTAGTAAAAGTAAGCAACTTAGGTGTGTAAGCAACTTAGGTTTGTAAGCAACTTGCCTATAGTGTACGTTAGACGCTTTTTAGACTTAGACATAGTTAAATAAATAATTAATGTAATATTATTAACATACTCTACAGGCAAGTTACTTACACACCTAAGTTACTTACTTTTACTAAGACTTTACTAAACTACTTTTTTTACACTAATACATTTCTAATAACACTACTTAAATGTGCTAAAAAAAAAGTTAGATACAGCTTACACTTTAAGCTTTTAAATAAGATATAAAACTTTTAAAAAAATATGCTATAGCTATATATAAAGTCTTTTAAAAAATAATAAATAACTATAGCACTAGACAACTTTTATAAGCTAATTCTATAGCTAACTTATAAAGGCTAAGTAATAATAAAAAGTAGGTAATTATTAAAACTATACTTAAGCTATATGCGTAAAGATTTTCCTCTTAAATAGCATTTATAGCTAATATAGCTAATTCTTTACATGCTAAGTGTAATCTAGGCTATATTAGCATAAACTAGCCTAGTATGTTTAAAAAGTGTTATTTAAAGCTTAAAGTAAAGTTTTAAGTATAAGTATAGTTAATAAATATTTAGCTTATAATAAAGCTTATTTTACTAAAGTTATACATGTTATTATTCTAACGTACTTCATAGGCAAGTTGCTCACACACCTAAGTTGCTTACTTTTGCTAAGACCCTACTAAACCACCCTTTTTACACTAATGCATTCCCCACAACACTACTTAGACGCGCTAAAAGAATGTTAGATACAGCTTACACTCTAAGCTTTTAAATAAAACATAAAACTCTTAAAAAAATGTGCTATAGCTATATATAAAGTCTTATAAAA